TACATTTACTTCAGCATATATAGTATGGATATGCACCTGGGCAAATCAAAACATGTTTCAAAATAATGAGTGGCACTTCAGAGCCTATGCAGTTTTACAAACACACAGCATAGAAGGAACACTGTTTTCAACACAGCCATTAGCAATATAAGCACCTGACATTAGCACCTTCATGGTGGCAACAACCTAAATTTTTCAAATTACATATGCAGCAAATGTTTGCACTTAGCCTACATTAAAAGCTTAGGAAGTTTTAAAAATATACTTCAAATAATCCTTAAAGACAAATGAATATATATTGGAATGCCATATCTAAAATATATCATCAAATATATAATTCATACAAAGAGACTAGATGCATAGTAATATTTAACAGTAAGGCATGAAACATTCATGTGACATATAAAAAGAATCATGCTCAAACCATTCATAACAGGACATTTGACAAGACACATTTTCATTCAATTCTTTTGCTTCTTCCATTTGAATTTTAGGTTTCCATCAACAGGAAAATGATCAAGGCACGCATGAAATCCTGGCTCTTTGCAGGTCTTCCAACTGCCAACACCTCCTGATCCATCATCCATGCCAGTTAAGCTTACATGGCGCCAATGTGCAGCATGCTTCAGGTACTCATGACCATACATGTTTCTTGCTACACGTCCTGGGTTAGCCTTTACCCACGTTTTTCTTCCGTCGAACATGATCTGTGTTGGTATTTGACGGTATTCCTCTGGTAAATAGATTGTGGTGTTATGTCTACATGTTATATCTATTGTGCTTTGTTCACATGTTGATGTCCAATAGTTACCAGCAATTAGTTTTGAATAACAACCTTTTCTCTTCATGCATTTCATACCATCTGATAACCAAATGGACTGATCTTTACAATCTGTAATAGTATCTGTATCAAAATCCCAGGGAAGCAAGCCATCAGTTTTAACAGCTCCTAGCAAGCTTCCAGCCTGCAGTTCATAATATAATCCAAGCTCTTCAGCACAATCTTGGAAGAGTCCAAGTTCATAACGCAGCTTCTCCTTGCAACATGGAGGCACAAGAAACAGAGCTACAGATTTAAGGAGATTGGTACATTTAATTTCAGCTTGTTCACATGAAAACTCCAATTCCTCACCATCATAGGGGTGGATATATTGGACAGACCATATTTGAGCCACTCTGAGCCAATCTTTTTGCACCATGACAGGTTCAGTGTCAACAAAGAACATCAAATCAGGGCAAGCCACAACAAGTGAACCAGTCAGTCGAACATTCAAAAACCAATCCCTATACATTACTGAGCCCTCGAGAGTCTCTTTCATGGGTACCTTTGCCAGCAGTTCAGTCCTCAGTATCATTGGACCGAGCGCATCATCGCAGTACATGCATTCATCTTTTGAGTGTTCATACCCGCGCTCGTAAGACAGCTGGTAATTTTCCATGGTCACTTGTAAGCAGCCGTGATGCCACAGCCCCTCAAGATCTCTATAAGCCCCTGTGGCTACTCCCACGTGATAAAGATCGTCCAGTACTCTAACCAGACGATCTAAGGGAGACTGTTCTGAGAAGTGAGTTAGGGTACTTGTGAGAAATATATAAGGCGTATTGATGTAAGACAAGACACTGTTTATGGCTTTTGATTCAAGTACTCCTGATGAGAAATATTTTATATTAGTATTATCAACATCTATTCTTTCATTTATGCCAAACACTAATATATATATATTTACATCATAATACTTCAGGATTTGTCTAGCAACAAATTTCACCCTCTCTACTGCCCAGCCCTTTGTTGAGAGAACAACCGTAACTAAGTCCTTAAAAGCCAAGGCATTCGTGCACTCGATAGTTCTGAAATTGCTCTGGTACATCACATCAGCCTCTCTGCCCAAGTACACCTCCGGGCACACTGCCACTTCTGGGCTGGCCGTTGGAGGCGGTGAACCATTCTCTGCTTTGTCCCTGACTGCTATCTCTCTGCTGTTCCGCTGCTGATTCCTGGACTGGACTGGGAGATCTCCATCCTCGGACGACACGCGGGGGTCTATCTCCTCCGCTACAGCCAACAGTTCCCTCGACCAAGCGGCATCAACTTTACCTTGCTTACCTGCAAATATGAGGACACTTAAGTACTCTGGGGGAAATCTTGCAATCAAATACAGCAACAAATGATGTAATAAAGTTATCATACTTAAGAGGGAAGAAGTAAAATCCTGTAAAATTTAGAATAATGCCATAACTGATAAGTACTGTAATAATACAATTATATCACAGAGTAACTATCATAAAATTAGTATAAAATCAGTATAACAAAATCTGCATTCATGTGAATAAAATAAACAGTAATATGTAAAAATAATGCTTGTTATCACAATCATTAATAAAGTAATAAAACACACACACACACACACACACACACACACACACACACACACACACACACACACACACACACACACACACACACACACACACATGCTATTAATCCAACACATGGCTGCCC